GGTGGGTCCTCTAAGTGCACAGGAGCAGCCGGGTGCTTATTCCAACAGGGCGAAACTTTTCAAATAAAAATTTTATCACTTAAAAAGCCAGTTTGGAAGCTTAGAATTATGTTTAGTATATATCCTGGTAGTCTCTTGCCTGCTCATTACGGTCAACACAACTACGTATACCAGCTTCTTTTAATATCCTTCATGGCTGCCCAAAAAGACCAAAGGCTTTTTACCATTCTGAAAACAGGTTTGTTTTATAAGAATAAGTTATAATAATTTTCCCAAGAAAGATCTTCAGAGAAAGGATAGGAGTAAAAAAAAAATATTGGCAATGAATAAAACAGTTTTGCATTAGAAGTTGACTAAGGTTGGTAGGTTAAATGAAGTACCACAAACTTGGATCAAACAAAAATACAAAAACTTTAGACTTGGTGTGTTGAGGGGGGTGTGGGTACTTTATGGGTAATCAAAAGCATTGCTAAATCATAACGCAATCTAAGTCCCCAAGACGGCTTGCTGCGAGGTTGATATATCGCAGTGAGGGTCCATTTAAAGATGGTAAATCACGCCATAATGGCTATACGCAGATCCGATGACTATAGTGTGTATCACGGATGTGTGAGTTGATATAGACAAGTTGAATTCAACATGACGTGAATCCTAGAGTTGTCAAAAAAAAGGTCTCAGTGACTGTGGTTCAACGGAAACCGGCCTCTTGTCAGGTCGTCTAGCCATTCGCTGGCTAACAATTCAAAGCATCTAATGAGTAGAGATTATCACCTCAACGGTCCACGTTGCCTTTTAAACAAAGTCCTGGCACAACTGCGTACTTCTGGGAAGTCTTGGGACACGGCAGCTCTAATCACACCGAAACAGGTGCCATGGAAGGAATTTATTATTGTGTGCCTATGTAAACAGGCCTCAACAGTGTTAGTGCATGTGGCAAGACCCTGTCGGGTCCCATCGAGAACCGGTATACCGGGAAATGTATGTTCCTTCACAAACCTTCGGCTCCCTACACCAACTTAGAATACCAACATCAAGCCCCTTTCTGTGGCACCTACTTAGAAAAACAGTAATAAATTTGCTTCTCTATATGTCTTACTAAATATGGTGTTCATAGTTATAAAAAATATCTAATAGTTTTTAAGACCTAATCCTGGGAAGGACCCAATGAGCAATTTTCGTTCACTAGTACATCCTAACGTGTAATTGAAGTGTGCTTTATGGTGTCCAGTAACAGTCCAATAAAGGTTACCTGATATAACCATAGGTCCTTTCCTCTGTAATGAAGAAAACAGTCAACATGCTAATAAGTTTAAATGCCTATTTACTCATGGACAGTAACAACTGAATCATTAAATTATGTGGGTACCATTGCCCCCCAAAATTAGCTGGTTTAATTACTTTCTTGAGTCTGCGTACAATCCCGTGAAACCCTGTCTCTATCTCAAAAATACAAAAAACTAGCCGGCCGCTCGTGGCGGGCGCTGTATCCCAGCTACCCTCGGGAGGCTGAGGCAGGAGAATGGCGTAAACCCGGGAGGCGGAGCTTGCAGTGAGCTGAGATCCGGCCACTGCGCTCCAGCCTGGGCGACAGAGCGAGACTCCGTCTCAACAACAACAACAAAAAAAAAATTGGACTGAGGCAGCAGAAGCTGAGTTTTTGCAGAGATCAGCAGGGCAAGTGGCTTGAAACCTGGGAAGATTCCGTTAGCCCAGAAGTCCACTGCAGAGGTCAGGAGTGGCAGGTCTCTTGCCAGGCCAATTGTTTCGAATCCTGCCTTCATTCCACTCCAACTTATCAAAATAATACTGATTCTCCTTCATATTCAAATACATATCATGTGAGGTTCTTTTGAGGAATAGGTAGCAGAGGGGGTGGGAAAGAGTGGAGATTTTGCTTTGAACAATCAGACAAAAGGTGAGTGTGCATGTGCATGTGTGCACAAGGCGGGGGCTCATATCTAAATGTGTATTCTTAATGCCTTATCAGCTAGGAGCGTGTGGTTCTCCGAGAACAATAAAGCCAAAAAACCTGGTCTGAAAAGGGCTGTTTTCCTATTTCTCGTAAAGGGTAACATTTCTCTGTGACACAGGCCTGATCCTTAATGAGATTATACCAAACATGTTTTTGTAAAGTTGGACATGGCTGTGTCTCCTCAACCAGAACCAAATACAACAAAGGAGAAAAGCGCCCCTCAAACAGGCAAACCCCCAAAACTCCAAATTAAAGCAAGAGGCAGCAGCTCCAGCCTGTCCATCAGACTGGGCACATCTGGGGTTCCTGCCCCAACAGAGCGGTCCATTCCTATTTGGCAGATTACCGTGGAGGGGCTCACAGATAGAACAGAAGAATAAATGCCTCCAAGAGGCTAAGACTCCATCCACAGTTCAACAAATTGAGGCTCTGTGGATTTAAACAATTGCCATCTAATCGTTGTTAGTGGCACTGATGAAAACTCAGCTGGACTCTGCTATGGTTGTGTGTATTTGTCTGGGTTCATCCCTTTCTGGAAATACAAAATCAAAGTGCGAAGTTCAGAGCCAGGTTCAGAAGAAGACAAAAGTGGGACGGTTGTTTGAAGCTCTGTGCCCTGGAAACCCTCTCTGGTTGCTGTCTGCCTCCAGCCAATCTGGTGTGATTTCTACTATTTGACCTCCTGGGGGAAGGAGGCAAAATACCAAATGAGGACAGTGAGAGGTAGGGGGCCCCAGGTTAAATGCTTTGCACACCGCCAGCCCTGAGTTTAAATCTTGGCTTTGCCATTTCCTAACTGGGTAACCTTGAGCAAATTATCTAATATCTTTGAGCCTCAGTTAAGGGATAATCTTCTCAATCCCACAGACTTGTCATGAGGATTAAGTGAGATGACGTATATTAAAGGACATGACAGTTCTTGGTCCTATAATGGGACTAGATGGGATCTAGTCTCTGACTGTAGCTAAGCCCCTTTCTGCCACGGGCTCTGGCAAGTGAGCCTGACTGCCAAGCCCCTGGTGGCTCAGAATCTAGGACAGATGTACTCTCATGGAAGATTGCAGACACAACTCAACAGTGAGTGTTGATCAAATGCATGTATAAATAGGACACTTTTTGCCCTGGAGCTGCATTTTGGAGTTCTTGCTGTGCAATTGTACTGAACAGTGTTTTGAGGAGGAAAAGTTCTAAGTACATTCTTCATTCTCACGTTCACTTAAATATTTATTGAGCTCCAACCTGAGGCACACCTCTTTAACAAACTTTCTCATGATTTCCACAACAAAGATACCTGTGTCGGGAACCTCTGCAGGTTTGCACATTGCAATGAGCCAGCCTGGGGCCGGGAGGGGCTCCTAAGGCACTGGCCCCAGACTGGAGATCATGTGATTTATTTCTTTGATTCTCATTGCGGTGTTCATACCTTCTGGAAAAGGAAAAAAATCTGAAAGTTAGCACCATCTTTTCTTGTGCCTATTCTAGAGTCTCTGAAAAATACCAACCTCCTCCCTACCCCAAAAGAACACTAAGAAACAGACACTTAAGATGTATTTAAAATACTGTTTTCTATTTACATGTTTAAAAACAATCTTTTTTTTTTTTTTTTTTGTAAAGGAAGCAAACCCACTTACAAATTCATTTCAAATACATGGAGATTTTGGTTACTATGAGTTCTAAATCAGAAGTAAAGCACAAAGGTTGCTGGTTGCTAAGGCAACAATTGTAAGCAATTTTCTATTGGCTCAAGAACCAGCTAAGAAGGAAACATTTTGAAATGAGGCAGGAGAGTGAGACACATTCAGCCCCTTTCAGAAAGTAAATTGTTAGAGGGAGAGCTTTCTTTCCTTTCCTCTCCTTTCCTTTTCTTTTATTTCCTTCCTTCCCGCCTCCCTTCCCTCTCCTCCTTTCTTCTTCTTTCTCAACCACACACAGCAACATGGAAGTGTAAGAATGAGCACAATGCAGAA